TCAAAAGCCTAAAGTTTATTCATAAAATTCATTTAATAAAATGTTAGCATTTCATAACTTTTTTCTTTTGATTTTCAAAAATTGAGTTGTTATAATTAAATAAAAAATAACAATTTTGGACATTTTTATGAATTTTTCCCTCCTTTATCTAATCATCTAAAATGCATAAAAGTTATTGACACATTTTGTATAAAAAAATATAAACTGGTTATCTTAATTAATGCTCATTAATTAAGATAACACAATTAGTAATTAATACTTCTTAATCAAACATAATTAATGTTATTTAAAAATTTTCACTATTGTTGTAAGATTTGTTTGTTTTTTTTCCTTTTTGAGTTGTCTTTTTCTTATTAAATATTTATTTATTTTTATTTAAAGTTTATAAAATTAAATTTTTTATTTTTAAAAATAAATTATTTTTTATCTCATTTTTTATTATTTTTGTCTTTAGTAAAACATACAGGTTGAATTACAGATACATTATTCTTTGCTTTGAAATTTATTATCTTGCTTCACAAAAGAGAAAATGGTATGTGTGTTTATATTCATATATTACATATATATATATATATATATATATATATATATATATATATATATATATATATATATATATATATACATACATATATATACATACATATATATATATATATATATATATATATATATATATATATATATATATATATATATATATATATATATATATGATGCTATTCTAGACCATTTTCGACAGCATCGACTGTATTTATGACAAATATTTTATTTTTCGTGAAAAAATAAAATAAAAAATGACATCGACTGTATTTATGACAAATATTTTATTTTTCGTGAAAAAATGCTGATTTTCTGCTAAATTTTGCCAGAATTGCTATCACTACCCAAATTTTTTTCCTAGAATAGGCCCCGTGTGTATATATATATATACAGGCCCTGTGTTTGTGTATATAAAGTTTATGTTATTTGGGTTTGATGGTATTAGATATTTTTGTCTTTCAAGAGACCATAGAGATGGACCTAAATACCAGCTACTAATGGAGCCTAAATACCAGCTACAAACAAATACTATAATGTTTCCACCTCTGTGAATATATTATTGTTAGGGGTTGCTTTAATAAAGATGTGTCAGTCCTATCCACTTGATTGGTGGCATAATGGAAAAAAATATATACAAGGATATCATTTTAGATGTTATGCTGGCACATACTATAGACAACCTAACCTCTACAATGGATATTTCAGCAGGACAATGACCCAAAGCACACCTAAACACTTAGTTTTGTTACAAACTTTGTAAAGCTAAAAAAAATTACTATATTCTATTCTAGTATATTGTGATTTATTTTTACTATTACTAAATGTTACTCTAGTATTACATAAAAACAATAAAGTTTCTAACTTGTATAGAATTTAGATGAGAGTGGTTAAAATTCTAAAATAATATTTTAATTTTCTAGTGTAAAATGTTTAAATAGGCTTCTAAGAAGGTTAAAATCATTATTTATTTGTTTAACTGTTTTTAATCATCTCTTTTGACAAGTACAAAATCACAACTTTTTTGAGAAAATTTGGGATTCTAATGCTGATGAAAAATTTCATCAAAATTCTTTGAAGTGGTGATACTGTATACCATAAAGTATACATAATAAATTATTTCAAAATCTTGCATTGAAATCCAACAGAGTTATTATCATTTTTCTACAACTAATATTTATCTCAAGTTATAACAATTTATGACTTTTTATAAAAAAAATTATTTTCACTCAAAAATGTCTAAATATTGAATAGAAATAGAATTGATTTCTAAATTATTTTATTACTCTTTTTTTTTAATTAACAAACATATTATATAACAACATTGGTCATAAAAACACTTCTCAATAAATAATTCTAACAACACAACATTTGTCAGATTCTTCTTGTTTGAATTTTGCAGTGGATTCACACTTTTTTGCTGTTGTAATCAACAACACAGTTTAGGAGCTGATGAAAGTAGTCGGGATGAGAAGCATCTCTTTTGTATTTTTTCTTGACTTTTGAGACAAGAATGTAAAGCTTCAGTGGTTTATTCATTGTATAGTCCTAGACTAGTTTTTTTCATCTTGATAAATTGTTTAACATGTCGAAAACAGCATAAACCTTTTATCATGACAGAAATCTGGAGCTTCAGAAAACTGGATTTGAAAACTTTGATTTTCAAAACATAAACATGTGAAAGAGAACAGTTAAAACAAGTTGAAACAACTTCCTTGAATGAGTTCAAAGTATGGCAGAAATTCAGAGCTTCTGAATGACCTTCAGCTTCAGCAAGAAATTTCAGCTCATTTACTTTTTTGAGAAAATTCATGCAGTTATTGCCATTGTAGTGGCCACCATAGCAAGTTTGAAGAGGGATGTGAATGGCTTGAAGCCAATCCATGGCCTTCAGTCATTTTTGTATTGGGCTTTTCACAATGTGATTGACCACACCAAGAAGTAAATGAAGTTCCATGGGAAGAAGTTCTTCCATAGTAACTGCTTGGTTAGGAAAAGGAAGCAAAGGAGGATGAGCAGCATGAAAAAAGCTTTAGCTTTTTTCAAATCACCTCCAGATTGGACAAAACTGGTATTGCTGTCTAGTGCTTTTAAAGATATAAAGTTTTCCACATGTAGTGAGTTTTAAAGACTCAATTTCACACCAACAACAATCGGTGTTTGCTACTATGAGATTGAAATTCACAAATTATGTTTGCAAGCTTCATGTCACACAAAATAACCAAGGAGCTGAGAGACAAGCTTTGTCCACATTAATGAGTTGAAAAATTGACATTTTTAAAGTTTTTTGGTATATTTTCAGAAATCGCTACATCTTGAAGTTCTCTTGATGATACAATTTTTACTTTGAGCTAATGCAGAAACTGGCAATGAACCACTTGGTTGATTGCCAGGATCTGCATCAGAACAGCACAGATAAGCAAGTTATGCACCTTTTTTTTAGCTGCTGGAGTTTGTTGACTAGCTTAGCCTTCATTGAATTGAAGAAGGTGTTTTCATTGGTTTTGGTAATTTTGTAGATCCAAACAATCACACTATGCTGTTTGCCTTTGAAAATTTTTATCACTTTGCTGATTGATCTTGAATCAACAAGTCATGCAAGTTCCAGAAGGCACATGATCATCACTGAAGTTCACAGTATTTGAGATAATCTTGTGAGTTTTCTTCTGGTAAGATTCTATCAATTGTCTGTCTGCTTTTTTCATACAGATTAAGCAAACAGATCTTCTGCAGTTTTCGCTGTATTTGGCAAACGTAGGCATAATAGAAAACAAATTTTTGACGCAGAAATGAAACATTTTTTGCATAAACGTAAACAATAAGTACGTGATCAATTATCACTTTGATAATTAAAAGTTTGTAAAATGCTTCATTTTTAAAAGGTGATATCTATCATTAAATAATAGTCAAGTTTAACTTTCTGCACAAAATATCCAAATTAAAATATCTCTGTTGGATTTCAAACTATGAAATCAATTTTTGGTGTTATGAGAACTTTATAACATACACAATTATTGGTTAAAAGGATTTTGATGGAATTTTTTTTCAGCATTGGGGTACCAGATTTTCAGGGTGTGAAATATTTAAAATGTCTTAACAAAATCATTTTTGACAAAAAATTTATTTACAGCATTTTAGTTGGAAATAAATCATCTTGTAACTTCCCGAATAAATATATATTTTATGATATTACCTCAATGAATCTTTGTTACATTTATTCCATTTATATTTTTAACTTGCCAACAGTTTTAAAGTTCACAAAATATAACACAGATAAGTGCATTGTAAAATTAAACTTTATATGTTATCTTACAACAAAATGATTTCTGTTCTCAAAATACATGTTTTCTTATTTTCTGTGTAAAATCTAGAAAATAAAAAATTATTTTGTAAAATTTACATTATGTAGTTTGTAAAATAAATATAATTTATTTGTTTTAAACTTAGTTTAAACTTTTTAAACTTTAAAATAACATAACACGTTTAAAGGAAAAAACTTAATAGTAAGTGACGTAAAATTGACTTTGATAAATTGGAGAAGTTTTAATGTAGAATGGCAAGAATATGTAAAGCGGTCAAGGTTTAAAAATATGTAAATTGCTGAGGTTTCATATATGAGAGCAAATTTTAAAGTAATTTAATTTGATACAATTATTTTTTTATTGTGCAAACTTAATTAAGTTGGTTATTTTGACAATTTAAGCACTCATAGAAAAAGTAACAGCAACAGTAAAAACACAAACTTTTCTATCAAAGTCTACTATTTAAATGTTTTAAAATAACAACAACAACAACAAAAAAGAAAAATCAAGATGCAGCATTTGGAAATAGCATTTCATAATGAAATTGTCTGGTACTAAATGTTAGAATTGATTTTAATAGGTATTTTAAATGGCTAGAGTACCATGACAATGCTAGCTAATAAAATATTGTTTTTAATTCTTTAAGGCCATTTTCCACAAGACAAAATATTCGCGCATAATAAATAAGTGATTTTTTTCGCTGTGACGAAACGCTGTTTTGATTTCCACTTTCTTTCATGCTACTTTTTTTTCGTTGTCAACAACAAAAATGGCAGCAATAAGTTTACGCTGTATGTTTAACTAAAATCAGTTATTACTTTTTTAGCATACTTTCTACTTTAAAGCATGTGAAAATTTCTTTCCGTGCATTAATATTAACATTTATGTCTTTATATGTAAGATGCAGGGCTTAATTTAACAGTCAGACATTGGACATTGTCCGGCTAAAACCTCAGATTGTCCGATCAATTTACTAAGTCATCGGACATTTTGTCCAGCAAGATTTTTAATTCTTTAAAATAAAATTTTATTCGTTGATTCGAAATTGACAAATTTAAACTTAATGTAAACTATTAGACAAATTTATAAAATATGTTGATAATGGAGGCATTCATTCCCAAAAAAAGCGCTGTTATTAATTATAGTTTTAATGACTGTTCTTTAACAGTTTTATTGTTATATTATTAAATTTAAAATTATTGCTTATTTAAAACGATCGCAAAAGTCAAAGTATGTTCGATTGATTACTGCAAACGCCGTGGACACCGAAAAGCAAAGAAAAGCTAGCAGTTTGAAAAATTTGATAATAAAAGATTTTACAAATGTGTTTTTTTAGAGGCTGAGATCTCATCGATGGAATATTTTTAAAAAAACATTAAGAAAATATACATTTAAATATTAACGTTATAATCATCCAAATCATTTTATTTTAGCTTGAGCGGTTTTTCGGTGGCATCCTGGTCCTACTCGAGTTTTACGATTTTTTATTTATTATTTGTTTTAAGATAAAACTATATCTTTATTTGTATTTTTTTTCTTATTATTTATTATATATATATGTATGTATATATATATATATATATATATATATATATATATATATATATATATATATATATATATATATATATATATATATATATATATATATATATATATATATATATATAAAAGATTAAAAAGTTTGTGCTTTATAAAACTTATCTCCCAAAGAAGGAGTGCCTTTTTGAAAAGTAGATAAATAATAACCTGTAGAACTCATAAAATATTCTTCGTTGAATTGATCAAATTTTAATGACATGCAGCGCGTAGAATTTTTAAATTAAATAATAGCCCGTAAATATTATATTGCGTTTGATTTAACGGCCTTTAAGTAAGTAAAAGCGAAGTTTAAATTTTTTATATCAACTTTAAAAATAATATGTTTATCTTAATATTTAATATATTAAAGACATTATTATGCTATATTACTATAACAAACTTGTTTTCTACCGTTTTTATTATTGATTTAAATAGTTACATAAACGCCATATAAATACCTTTTTAGTGCCAAAAGTGGAGCTTATGCACAAAATTGACACTTAGCATATTATATTTTTTTAAGTAAAAAAATTTACATAACTTTTATAAACCGGTAATGCAATTCAATGTAAACTAACAAGGTTTTCGAGAGGAAAAAACTCAATAAAACTTCAAGTCTATCTAAAAAAATACACAGTATTGAATTTAAACTATTTCATTTAACATACAAAGATTAACGATGATAAAAATTCTGGATATTAAAAAAAAAAAATTACAACTTCACTAGCATAAAATAAAATAAACTGGGAAAACATAACATATATTTCGATTGGATAATTGGGTTCCGTAAAACTCAGAGACGCCAGAAGCTAGTTTAAAAAAACCCATCTGCAGTACTTTTTTACTCTCTGCATTTAAAGAATCTTTTTCCTGTGTTCCTTTTGACTAAACAAATATGAATATATGTAAATATTGGTGAAAATTATTTGTTTAAATTTTATTTCAAAAATTTGATCGGACAATGTCTGACCAAAATAACTTTTGGTCGGACATTTTGTCCGGGACCTTATAAAAAATTAAATTAAGCCCTGAGATGTATTATCATTTTGTAATATAATCATTTAGTATAAGGTTTTTTTTACAAGAAAGTATAAGAAAATAAATGCTAAACTCTGATATGAACATTTCTATTAAAAAAGTGTTACTGCAAGAGCAAACAGCAGGTTTAACTCTATGTAGGGTTTTTTACAATAAGGTTTATCTTCGTGCGGCCACTTGAAGATAAGCATTCTTATGAAGTGTAACTTTTGTTCAAAACAGTGTGAAAATTTATATTTGTAAATTCTCGATTTAGTTTTTTATATAAGTCTGGTCATTTTTTTATGTCTTGCTCCTTGTTTGATGAATTTACTCATGGCTTGCCAATTTTTAGAGTAAGTTCATATAAAATTAATAAGTACGCCAGGTTAAGAATTTTGTTTTTTGTTACTTTAAAAACAACATGTTTTCGCTTTTTTTTACTGTTGACATCACGTGATATAATATTCAAAACTTAATTAGTTTTCGCTTATGGCAATTCGCAAAAAGTTGAAATGAATCCAATTTTTTTTTGGCTACAGCAAAATGCTTATTTTATGCACATGCTTATCGACGAAAAAATTTGCTTCACGCGAGTTTTTCTTCTTGTGGAAAATGACCTTTATACTAACTTATTTGGATTTTATCTTTTGTTATATATTTTTACTTCTTTTTTCTTTTTTTAGGGTCAAGATTACTCTATTCCATCTGATATGATAACTCATTGTAAGCATATTTAAAGTATTATATAGCAACATTAGGAAAAAAAAATACGTTGTTGTTTTCATGTTCAAGTAACTTCTTTAGCTTTAGGAAGGTGAATATATTTAGAAATGTGAAGAATTTTAAAATTATTGCTACGCTTTTACCTTATTTAAAACTTAAAAAAATATAACAAGTTATCTAAAATGTATTAGAGACAAAAACTAACATTTTATATTTAAGAGTTTTCATTACTTCACATTCATTTGCATTTAACCAGTTGACACATTTTTGTTTGTTTTTGTGAATAGATATTCCTAATACTCAAAAATAAATTTAAATGTGTTAAATTTAAATATTGAATTATATGATGATGTATGATAATATGATGATCAAAGTGCTAAAGAAGATGATTAGATGATTCCATATTTAAATAATAATTTTCATCTTTTCTTAAAGAAGTTTATCATTATCATATTTGTTAACTGCAATATATTTTAAATGATTACATCTTGTAGAATATGTTTTAAGGCATTACATCTTGTAGAATAGTGAATTTAAGAAGAAAAAAATTGAAAAATATATTATTTCTATCTTTTCCTGTTTGATATAATTTTCTGCCTTTCAAGACAGCTTGATACCACAATTACTTTCACTATAGAAAGTTGCATCTTTGGTAAAAACTAAAAATAAAATAGGTGTAAAGCAATTTCTTGAGGTACAGAATCAAAGGTTTTTACCAAGTAAATGATACTAAATGATAAATAAATGAAACTAACTATTTTGTTATCAAACAAACAAAATAGTTGTAAAATAATTTAATTATATTTATTTTATTTAAAGTTATTTTTACTTGAGGTTTTTTCTTTTTCCATTAGATTAATATGAAATGGAACATGAAATACAAGTTGTTGAAAACTAATAAAAAAACTTTTTCTTTTTTTGACTATTTTTAGGACATTAAAATTAAGAGGTTTCTAAACTTATAAAATATATTTTATAAACTGATCTAATTTTAGGTAAAGCAGCTTTTTTTCATTTTTTTTTTTAAAAAACAAAATAGTTTTTCATAATTAGGGGGTTAATAGGGGCATTTTTTAATAGTATTTTTTGTTCTTTTGCTTGTATCGATAACTTTATTTTATATGTAGTTTAGCCTTATAGTTTCTCATCATGATGGATGACCACCATGATTATAGCCTTTAGTTTTTTACCATTGTGGATGTTTTCTCAGATACAGCAAACCTTTTCAGTGTCTTGTTTAGGTTTTTATGCACTGGTTTCAATGTTTGTTCTGATCTAATACAAGCCAGGATCTTATATCTATTGAGATACTCCTTGAGATGGAATTTGATTATCAAGTTTTATCCTGAAATAAAATTCTCAAACTAAACCAAACAAAAGCCAATTTAATATTAATTTGCTGAGAGATAAGAGTTTGTTTTTTCAAAAAGTTCTTTAGAGTTTTGAAAAAAAGATCACAAATTTTACTTATATAATATTCATTATATAAGTAGAATTATGTTGATAATTTTCTGATTCAATTTTCTATTTAACTGGTTTTTTTTATTGTCAATTTTGTAATATTGCATCTGCACATGAGGTTTGCTGTTATATTGGTACTTTCTGAATATGTCATCCAAAAAGTTTCAAAACTATTTTTATATTTATTGCCTTTCACAATAGAAAGTATTTTTCATCATGACTTTATATTTTATTAAAATATTTTTAGCCATTGCTCGTTTAAAGTTTATTTTGCATTATTTGTTAAGAAAAAAGAAATATGGTACATGATATAAAGATTATCCAAGAATAATGTTAATGAATTTAAGGTCAGTAACTAAGGTAAACTTCAATTAATCAAATTAAAGAAGTTGAAAAAGTGTTTTCTAAAACAAAAACCTTGATGACCTTGATTACTTCAGGAAAAAATTGAAAGTGTTGGAGTTTGAGGGAAAAAACTAGATAAGTAGATGTTTTTTGAGCATGAGTTATACAACAGTATAAAAAAAGATCTATCTTCTTGAAGGAACACTGTTTAATAGCATAGATAGGTCAGTAAAAATAACCATATCTTTTTAAAAAAAGTTTTTACCACTCTTGAATTGACATTTAACATCATAAAATCTGCAAAGTGTGACCTGTTTATAACATCAGTATTGGTGTTTCAATACTGATGTTATAAACAGACACAATAAACAGATTTATCTCCTATTTTCTGAATAAAGTCTTGATACAGGCTAATAAAGTCTTGCTCATTACAGGCTCATTTTGAAAGAAAACATTTTTATTTTTTATTTCAGATTATTTTGATTTTATAATTCAATCTTGTCTGAATTTCGGCATAATTTTACTAATCTAATGAACAAGCCTCTATATAAATAATCTTTGAGTTAAACAACACACTTGGTTATTTGTAACGTGGAACAAAAATTCTTTCATAAATTACATTCAATAATTGTTTAAAAGATATTTTTAAAAACTTTAATTTTATATAGGATTATAATTTATAATTAGACTTTAATGTCAAAATTTATTTAGGCACCCAAAAAATATGGTTAAGTAATTTTTAGAAACTTCCACTTATTTTTTCACAATCTATATATCTGTTATATCTGTTTAGTTATTTTTTCACAATCTATATATCTGTTATATCTGTTTAGTTATTTTTTCACAATCTAACTTTTCTACTTTTTTATTTTAATCCACTGCTTAACAGTTACATAATCTTTCATATTCTTGTACTTTAAAATCTGATTCACTATTTGATATATCCAGTGTCTTCCTCCTTATTATAAAGCTGACAAGGATTTTTTCTTTTCAAATTTTTCTTTCCGTGGTTCTTCTTATGATGATCT